GATTATCTTCTGTGTCTGTGTTAATTGGTTTCCCTTTTCTTTGTTGAAGAGGGTCTGTGCAATCCTTCTGCCTAGTCCGCCATCTTGCCCCGCCTCCCTCCAATTCAACTTTTTATAGTTTGTCTTAGTTATCTAGTGCTGCTATGACAGAAATACCATATGTGCAGTTTTTTTCTCTCAATTGTGATTTGGGTGAATATTTACAGAGCAGATTCATTTTCCTTACAGCCGTTCGTACACATTTTGTTTCATGACATTCATTGTAAATCTCCATAATGTAATAACTCTCGTCCCACTTCCTGCCTGTAGTTACCTTTTCCTCGTGTCCTTTCCTATGGGTTCCTGCCCTCTGAGCTATCTCCCTGTGAAAATCCTGCCCTTGTGATCTCCCATGATTGATCATTCTAAGGAGTGTAAATGTTCACCGTACATGTCTGTCTCTTGTTTGTCTTGAAGCCATGGGATTGAGTTCCATTCCAGGCTTGAAGGGTGACTAGAGGCCATAGTGTTGGGCACATGTGGATGGTTTTAACAAACAGAAATATGTGCTCTCACATTTTAGGAGGCTGGAAGTCCCAATTTGGGCTGCCAGCTCTACGTGAAGTCTTTCTCTTTCTGTTAGCTCTAGGGGAAGGCTTTCTCTGTCAGCTCTGGGAGGTTCTCATCTCCTGTGGGCCTGGTGTCCCTTGGAAATCTCCGTGTTTCTTGGCATCAGTCTTTCCTTGGGTATTAGAGGGTCTCAGCACAGGGACCCCAGGTCCAAAGGATGCGCCCTGCTCCTGACTCTTTTTCCTTGGTGGTACTGAGGTCCTCTTTCTCTGCTTGTTCTCTCCTTTTATCTCTTTTAAGATAAAAGGTGATGCAGGCCACACCCTGAGGAAACTGCCCTTACATGGTATCAGGGCTGTGACTTGAATAAGAGTCTTACATGGCACCCTAATCCCCTTACAAGTGATTGGCTGATCACATCATGGATGATGATTACATCATTGCATAACTGCCAAATTACATCATTACATAACTGGAAAACCCCTGAGAATCATGGCCCATATATTCTGGGGATACAGTTCATTCCATGACACAGATGTTCAACTTATTGACAGCACTTACAGTAATTGGCTGTGCAAACCCACCCTTAATCAATGGGAGTTTTTCATCACCATAAACCAAAACTCAGTGCTCCATAAGCAATAACCCCATGTTTCCCCTCCCTCCCACCCTTGGTAACCACTTTAGTCTCTATACATATGAACATGGTTTATTCCATTTCTCCATGGATGGTGCAAGATGTGGAATCACCTTGCAGAAAGTAATTTAGCTTTTATTCTCTGTTCTTTCTATCCATACCAACGCCTCTGAAGCTAACGAGTTGGGGCTTACCAGACCAAGAGAGAACAGTTGCAATCTGTCATGGCTACATGATGAGGCCAATCAGAACCCTGAGTTCTAAGGCTCAGATGGACTTCCTGGTCGGTGATTTTGTGTAGGAGAGGGTAGCACATCCCTCTTAGGACATAGAAGCTCCACACTGTGATCCCTCCCTAGACCTCACCCTATGTGCCTCTTGGCTTGCGTTCTTTTTAGTTGTAATTAAGGTATAGCCGTAAGTGTGGTAATACCTCCTTAATTCTGTATTAATGAACCCACAGGGGTCAATGAAAGCCAGCAGGCTCACATCTTCCTGTCGGGCATCTGAGAGAGTGAGGCAGGCTTATTGCTGAGTCTGATGTCCAGAACAAGTGGGAGCCAGCTGTACCTATCTGGGTCTGCACAAGGCCTTTCCCCTGGTAGTTAAGGTTATGTGTCAACTTGGCTAGGCCTGGTATTGAGTGGCTGGGCAGCCAGATGAGACTAGTAATCAACTCCATGGTGGAATCTACTGGAGCAGCTGAGTAGCTGCCTTAGGTATGTGGTCTCCTTCCTGTATCTAAGAAGATACTTTGAGAAAGGTCTTCAGCTTTTTGGAACACTTGGATCCTGCAGTTAGCTGAGTCTTCATTCAACAGTCTACCATGTTGCCTGCTGATCTTGGGACTGTTTCTGAGCTTGAACCAGTGGCCTGCTATGTTTAATGATCTTGGGACTGTGCCATTTACTTGTTGACCTTGAGTTTGTCAGCCTCAGCAGCCAGAAGCTACCTGAGTTAAGAGAAGCCTCTAGCTTCAGTAGGCCAGGAGCAAGAGGCAGAGCTATAGCCCAAGATTGAGGGGCTTTGACCCAGCCCTAGAGCTGGCACTTTGAACTCAGACTTCTAGCCTTCTAAACTGTAAGAGAATAAATCCCTGGTTACTTAAAGCCATCTCCACTTGTGGTATTTTCTGTTAGATCAGCACTAGAGAACCAAAACACCCTGTTTCTCCATTTCTGTAGGTCTTGCCCACCCACCCAATTTGGGTGGTGGTGGTGATAGGGATGGCACCCGGTAGCCATAGGTGTTAAGGCCTTAAAGCAGAGTCTTTCCTGTTTGGTTCTCTTGTGCACTATGCTCACCATCTCCTTTGATTTAATATGGTTGGTGGTCACCTGTGATGTTCATGGCAGGGCCAGGACTAGTGCTGCTTCCTACTGGGTCCTTCGCCCTGGGAGTTTGTAAGATGGGTATCTTCATTTTCAGGTGGGTGACATCAGGGAAAAGGGAATATTGCCTTGACAGAGTTCCACTGAGGTCAGGGTCTTTGGAGTGAACCTTGATGGGGTCCTTATTTGAATGTGATTACTCTGATCTGTGTTTTATAACCCTGTTACTTTTTTGGTCTCCCCTATACATGACTGGAAGCTCTGGTAGTGTAGTGCCTAACGCATTTGACTGCTAACCAGAAGTCTGGAGGTTCAAACCTACCAGCCACTCCTTGGAAGGAAGGTTGGGCAATCTACTTCCATAGAGATATCACCTCGGAATCCCAAGGAGGGGTCGCTATGAGTCGGATCCAACTTGACGGCAGTGATTTCGGTTTTTGAGTTAATACATCTGACCAAACCTGGGGATGGGAGAGAGGGCTCAGGACATGGGGAGGTATTGGGGCATGCCACGCTAAGTGTTAACCTCTGGGTCACCAATTCAATATCCTCCTGACAGGCTGATCTACAATGGAACATCTCGGGCCACCCAGTTCCCTGATGGCGTGGATGTGCGTGTCCCTGGCTTTGGGCAGACCTTCTCACTGGAGTTCCTGGACCCCAGCAGAAGCAGTGTCGGTATGTAGCCCTCCCTGGTGCCATCCAGGACACAGGGCTGGGGGCTCTGCTTGACTGCTGTCCAGCTTGTGAGCTGTCTCTGACTGGTGTTGGCATAGAGCCCTGTAGCACTCCTCCAGTGACCTCCCTGCAGAACATGTCACAGCCTCATAGGTGGGTCATGTGGGTGGCTGTCATTGGCTGTCACCTCTCTAATCTTGTACATTTCTGCCTATAGGTTCCTATTTCCACACCATGGTGGAGAGCCTTGTGGGCTGGGGCTATACACGGGGTGAGGACGTCCGGGGGGCCCCTTATGATTGGCGCCGAGCCCCAAGTAAGCAACCATTCTCCTCTCCTCTCTTGGGAGGTGGGGATAAGAAAGTCATAGTCACCATAGGCCCTAGACTTTCTTTCCCCTTACCCCTGGAACTCTGGCATCCAACCTGGAGTAAATAGCCACGATGTCTCTCAGCAAAGCCTTAGGCAGTGAGTAGTGGGGTGGGAGGTCCCAGCCTTCACCCCTGATCAGTCTTGTCCATGTCCTTCCTCATCCCTCAGGCCAGGACCTCTGGGCCTCTGAGCCCTGAGGAGAGGAAGGAGGCGGAGTAGGAGAAATGGAACCCCTCTGTTTGCTCCCTTCATGGAAACATGGGGACATGGCATCACTCCCACTTGGACCCTAGCACTCTCCCCACTCCCCTAGTCCCTGGATCTGACCTGAGAAATAGTGGTGTGGGTCCCAGTACCTTGCCTGCCTGACCCCTGCCTGGCTCTGGCCTGCAGATGAGAATGGGCCCTACTTCCTGGCCCTTCGCAAGATGATCGAAGAACTGCACCAGGTGTACGGGGGCCCTGTGGTGCTGGTTGCCCACAGCATGGGCAACATGTACACGCTCTACTTTCTGCAGCAGCAGCCGCAGGCCTGGAAGGACAAGTACATCCGGGCCTTCGTGGCACTCGGTGCGCCCTGGGGGGGCGTAGCCAAGACCCTTCGCGTCCTGGCCTCAGGTAAGGCCCTGCCTGGCTCAGCGTGTGGTGGTCTGGTGGCAGGGTTGCTTCTCTCTCTCCCTGTACTGTGCTCTCCTGGGCCACTCTCACGTTTCTTCTCTTGGGTCACCTCCTCTCTCTCCCCAGAGTGGTATTCTTTCTCAATCATCCTTTTTCACAAAGGAAAATCTAAAACCACTCCTAATTCTATGTTCTCTAGAAAATGGCCCTTGTAAGTTTTTTTTTTTGAATGGGTACACATTTTATTTTTCCTTTGTTTCTTCAAACGTTATGTTCTTTACTATGTTTGGATCCAAGTTGATTGGTTAAAGATATTTTTTCCTTTGTACATTTGTGTTAAAGCATATGGTTTATTCTGTTGTGATGCATAGAATTTTTTTTTTTTCCAATTGTGATTTGGCTGAAAGTTTACAGAACAAATTCATTTTCCATACAACAGTTCATACACATTTTGTTTCATGACATTGATTGCAGTCTCCATAATGTAACAGCTCTCTTCCCACTTCCTCTCTGTGATTACCTTTTCCCTGTGTTTTTCTTTCCTATGCATTCCTGCCCTCTTAGCTATCTCCCTGTGCTAATACTGCCCTTCTGTTCTCCCGTGGTTGATGGTACTAAGAAGTGTACTTACCTGGTGTAAATGTTCACTTTATATGCTTATTTGTTGTTTCACTGGAAGCCTTGGGAATAAGTTCAATTCCAGGCCCAAAGGGTGACTAGAGATCATAGTCTCAGGGGTTTCATCACTCTGTCAAACCGGTAAGCCTGGTCCTTTTTTTATGATTTTGAGTTTGGTTCCACATTTTTCTCCCACTCTATCCAGGATCTCCTATATTGATCCCTTCCTGAGTGGTTGATAGTGGTAGCTGGGCACCATCTAGTTCTAATCTGTTTTGGTCCTCTAGTGCCACTCTAACAGAAATACCACAGATGTGTGGCTTTGAACCAATGGGTTTATTCTCTTACAGTTTAGGAGACTAGAAGTCTGTGTTCAAAGTGCCAATTCTAGGGGCTGGACGAAAGCCCCTTGATCTTGGGCTTTAGCTCTGCCTCTTGCTCCTGGCCCACTGAATCTGGAGGTTTCTCTTAACTCAGAAAGGTGCTGACTACGGAGGGTAACAGGCCCAAGGTAGACAAGTAATATGTTATAGTTCCAAAATTATCAAACCACACGGCAGGGCACTAATTCAAGTCCATTAACAGTCCCAAGATCGGCAGACAACATGGCGGGCCACTGAGATGAAGACTCAGCCATATGCAGTATCCAGAAGTACCAAAAGCTGGAGACTGCCCTCAAAGTTGCTTCTTGTATATTGGAAGCAGGCCACATCCCAAAGGCAGCTACTCAGCTGCTCAACAGTAGAGTCTACCATGGAGATGATTACCATTCTCATTATGGGGCATAACTACATCCAGCTGCCCAGCCACTCAAAATCAGGCCCAGCCAAGTTGACACACAACTACTGCATGGTCTCAGGGTCATGTAGGCTGAGGTTTGCATGGTCCATTAGTCCCTTGGGCTGATTGTTTCCATGTGTCTTTGGTTTTCTTCATTCTTCTTTGCTCTGGAGGAGGAGAGACAAATTGTTGCATCTTAGATGGCCTCTTGCAAGCTTTTCAGACCCCAGTTGCTACTCACTAAAGTAGGACGTAGAATAATGTTTTTGTGTATTATGTTACGCCATTTGAGCGTGATTCCCCCATGACAATGGTCCCAAGCCTTTAGGCCCAGTAACTTACTTCTTCAGAGTGTTTGGCTGTGGGTAAGAAGTTATCATAACTTTGTCCTGTCAGCTTTATTAAATATGTGGACATTTTTATAGCACATACAAATATGTACATAGAAATATCATCTGCCAAATTTATATATGGTCATGGGTATATTCTTTTTTGCTTAGACATAGCTGATCATTTAGCCTGTCCACCCCTTATAAAAGGAGCTCTGGTGGTGTAGTGGATAAGGTATTTGCCTGCTAACCAGAAGGTCAGCAGTTCAAACCTACCAGCCGCTTTGCAGAAGGAAAATGGGACGATCTACTTCTGTAGAGATTTACAGCCTTGGAAACCCAATGGGGGTTGCTGTGAGTCAGAACTGACTCGATGGCAGTGAGTTTGGACCCCTTGTAAATTTCTTGCAGCAAGTGCACAGTGTTGCATAACTGTTGGCCACACACCCCCTACACACATACACACACACACATACACACAGCTGAGGCCTGACTGGCCTTAGTTTGACGCAAAGTTCTTTGGGGGAACCTTTCCCCTCCCTCTTGCCCCTGTCCTCACTGCATCATCCCTGCCTTTTGCCAGAGGAGGAGTGTGGGCTGTAATTTCCTGTTCATGAGTTGCACATCCATCCTGTGTGCAACACGGGGAAGAAACAGGTGCAGGCCCAGCTGAGGTGGTGGGTGTGTGGTGGGTATGAAGGCGACTTCCTTCCCTGTTACCTCTCCTCAGGGGCTTCCTACTCTAGGAGGGGTTAGGATGGGATGGGAGCCCCACTGCCTCTCACTGGGGGAGTGGTGAGCCAGTACTGTGTCCTATAAGATACTTCCTTAAGTACCGACACTGCCTGACCAGTGTGTTGGTCAGCTCATGGTGTGGTTGGCTCAGGCCTGGTGCCTCTCCCAGCAGTTGGCTTGGGTTGACTGGACAATGAACCCAGAGCTCCAAACCACAGATAAAGGATAAGGGCTTATCCCAGCCCACTGTCCAACCTGGGCCTGGATGGACAGATGTGGGTGCTCCTTGCATCTGAGATGGGACTGTGAGGGAATTCAGCCCTGGTTTCTTCCAGAGCTTCCCACTTGGGGATTTGCCTCAGATGCTGGGGAACTCTTCTGTCAGGCCCTGGCGGTCTGGGAATAGAAGGTGGCCCATGGACCCTTAGGGACTCTAGAGCCAGGTCCCAGGCAGAGCCAAACCCCTATAGTCAAATCAAGGAAGTCTCTTCACTTTCAGTATGGGATGGGTGATGGGTCACCATGGGTCCTGAACAGGCCGGAAGCCCCCGCTGCCAAGCTACAACTCATGTCTTAGAGGTCCCAGTGGAGGGTGGGTGTGTTTGTGTTGTGTGTCCAGGACTCTGCCTTCAGTGCCCCCTCCTGCCCTGTCTCTGGCAGGCCTGGCTATCCAGGTCACCACACAGGCGGGTGGGTGGGATGAGACAGCACTGGGTGAACGCAGGTGTGAGCCGAGGAAATGAAAACTGTTTACACAGTTCAGTGAAATGAAAGAGAAATGTGTCTCTGGGCTGCCAGCCCACTGATTCACCTCAGACAAGGTCAGTGCCCAGGGCCCCAGTGCTGGGAAGCAGGGCTTCGAACCAGATCATTCCAGTTCAACCCCTGCTCAGAATTTGCCTTTCACCCCAGATACACTGAATTAGAATTAGAATCTACATTTTACAAGCTCCCCAGCTGATTCTTACCTAGGAGATCTCTAAGAATCACCTGCCACAACTGTAGATTCTAATTCAGTATATCTGGCAGCTGGAATGAAGCGGTTCTAAGCCCTGCCCTGAGGAGAGTGCTGTTGACTAATGAAGAAACAGTAAATCACCCTGTGGGTGTGTGTTGCCTAAATCCTTGGTGACTGAGGCAGAGAAAAGAAACCAGCTTGCTTGTCTGTTTTCCACATGTAGCAGAACTAGAGGGAAGCAATAAGAGCTAAAAAGCAATGGTTATTATCATGTGTTGATGATAAAAGCTTAGAGCTGCTGCAGTGTTGACAAGGCCACTGGTTGGGTCTGACGGGGGGCCTTGGTGGTGAACATGCTTGCAGCCAGCTTGCATTCCTGAGCATGGACTGACCAGAGCCTTCTCTCTGCAGGAGACAACAACCGGATCCCAGTGATTGAGTCCCTGAAGATCCGGGAGCAGCAGCGGTCTGCTGTCTCCACCAGTTGGATGCTGCCCTACAGCCACACGTGGTCACCTGGGAAGGTATTCGTGCACACGCCCACCACCAACTACACACTGCGGGATTATCGCCAGTTCTTTCAGGACATTGGCTTTGAGGACGGCTGGTTCATGCGGCAGGACACAGAGGGGCTGGTTGATGTCGTGGTGCCACCTGGTGTGCGACTGCACTGCCTCTATGGCACTGGGGTCCCCACGCCAGATTCCTTCTACTATGACAGCTTCCCTGACCGTGACCCTAAGATCTACTTTGGCGACGGTGATGGCACCGTGAACCTGCAGAGCGTGCTGCAGTGCCAGGCCTGGCGTGGTCGCCAAGAGCAACAGGTGTCATTGCTTGCGCTGCCAGGCAGCGAGCACATTGAAATGCTGGCCAACGCCACCACCCTGGCCTACCTGAAGCAGGTGCTTCTTGGGCCCTGACGCCTGTGCAGGCAGGGCTGCCATATGTCTCGGCCTCTGGGGCTGTTGCAGCCCATGGGTTTGTGACCAACCAAATGAGGCCCTGGATCTTGGAATATGAAGTATCTGCCACAGGGAAGTGTTACTTCTTATCTTCCCTGCGTGAGAGTGAAGAAGGAAGAACTCAAGTCTGAACTCAAGGGACCTTTGATAAAAAGAATATGGCTGCTGGTGGAACTGTGTGGCTTCAGGACTGCCTCCATGGGGTAGATTACCTGACACCTGGTCCCAGTCACCCACTCCAGGGCCACGTGTTCCTCCTGCTGCTATGGCCTAATCACACCCACCAGGCTATGGCCCCTCAACTTTCTTGTGAGAGGTGTTACTGAGCTGTGGGCTTTGCCCCAAGAGTCCAGGAGTGGGCTTCTGACCCTTAGGGTGACAACTCCACATACTGGCCATAGCCCCACGGCTGGCTGGCATTGCTGGCCCCTGTGGCCTAGCTCCTTGGCAGTCTGTCTGTGGCTTCTTGGGGGCAGCCCAGTTCCATTGTGGGCTGGAGCGGAGTGTGTATTGTCTGTGATTCCCAGGCCCTTGGGCATTCATTCCTCCCTCTCATCTCCAGGAGCAGCCTAGCCAGGCCTGACTGGAGGATCATGATAGGGCAGCAGATGGCCCCCCAGTTCTAGGGACTGTGTTCCAGGATCCCTGATCTCTTGTTGGGGCTGTTGGCCACAGTATTGCAGCTGACTCCTTTTGCCCTGGGCCTATGGTCCAGGGATGAGAGCAAGACTCAGTGCCATGTGGAGACAGGGAGCTCAGGGAAGCAGCCAAGGCTACCCAGAGCTTTGTTGAACTGCTTTTCCACTAACCTACAACTACACTGCCAACCTGCCCTAGGGTCTCTCCAGTGTCCAAATGCACTGGCCCACAGTGACAGGAGGCAAGACTCCTGCCCATCCTGCCAAACACCAGCCACCACCAGTCAGTGAATGGTGGGTGTTCAGTCTGCAGGAAATAACCCAGAGACTTAAGTGGGCTGATAGGTTCCCCTTTGGACAGCCACGTGCCTTGAGGGCTCTCCTGGGGGTTCTCTCTGCTCTAAAGGTGCTGCGTGAGCTTCCCTATGATAGCAGCGATGGAGAACCTGGGCCTGCCCTAGTTGCAAAGGCCTCCAAGTGGGTGACTGCTATCAAGGAGACTTAGCTCTAGCTTCTGGAGTGGGGTTCTGTGCTGTGGTAAATTACTTAACATGGGCCTTCTAGCCATAGTCTTTGTAACTCCCACCAAATGCTGGGGGGGACTGTGTCAATGTGAGGTCCTTGTGGCCCACCAGGAGGATTGGATAGCTTGCTAATAATGTAAATAAAAGGGGCATGGCACCCTTGAGGGGGTGGGACCATGCAAATGAGGTGCATGGAACCCTAACATGAGGATTGATTAGTTTTGCCATCTCACTAGGCCTAAAATGAACCATCCCAGAGGTGGAAAGAGGGGAACCTGACTATGAGCAAGAAGAGACAGGAGTGGAGAGTGCCCTTTGGACCTGGCATACCTGCACTGGGAACGTCCTCAAGGCAGGAGACAGAGCTGTAACACTGGAGAGACAGCACAGAGACCCATGGAGAGAGAAAGCTGAGTGCCTTCGGGAAGGAAGCTTGCCAGTAGGTGCTTCTGGGTGCTTAGTAGAGCTAGGTTTGGGTTGACCACAGAGTTAGAGCTGAGTGCCTTCAGGCCAAGGATTAGTGGTAGAGTAGGGTGCTGCTGGGCCCTTATCGCAGAGCTAAAAGAGCTTTGTAACGCTTGCCCAAGCAGGGTAGAGGCCAAGGGGCCAGGGGGCTACGAGGCCGAGGGCCAGAGGGAGGTGTGCCTATGGGCATTGCTGAGAAGACACTGTCCTGATTGAAGAACTGTATCCTGACTTGTTTTTGATCCTGAATTGTAACCTGTTACCTCCCTAATAAACCCCATTATTGTGGATATTGTCTGTGAGTTCTTTGTGGCCATTACAGTGAATAACTGAATGCAGCAGAGAAGTAGAGTGCCATGGGAAAGATGGCTGGTGTCAGAATTGGTAAAAAGGGTGGAAGGCAGAGGCGCGTCTGACCTCCACCTCATGGGAATCAGTCTTGGGCTGTTGATCTTGATCCTCTTGCTCCTCGTGAAGGTAGAGGAGGTCAGATGGGGCCCCACATCATATTGTACAGGCCCCCGGGCCACAGTCAGAGACTGTCAGGCCAGACTCTGCTGCTTTTCCACAAGATTTCTGCGGAGCTGGATTTTCTCTGTTGCCTACATCCCCAGCATCTTTTTGTTCCTGAGTGGTGGGCCCTGGATGAGGCTCTGAGCAGGCCAGTTCCCTCAATAAAAGTACTCTGGTTGCTTGCTGTACAGTCTCTTGTGTAGGTTCTGCTCTGAGTAGGAGGGAGGGAGGTGGCAGAGGGGTGAGGAGGTATAGAGAGGAAGGCGATCAGGGCTGGATCTTCCTGGGGATTTTAATGGGTTCTCTCTGCATTGAGGCATGGCCCCTTTGTGCCTTTGTGGGCTTTAACCTCCAGCCCCTCAGAGCTGCCCCCTTTCCTTGAATCTAGCTCCCCTTCTACGATTCAGAACTTGCACCATTCCTATTGGAATGTAGCTCCTGCCCTCCTCTTGCCCCTTCCTGGTCAGCAGGCCTCACATGCCACCTCAGAGCTGGGTGCCGAGGACAGTCCTGCAGGTCACCCCTGGTTGCGCTCCTTTTCCCAGCCTTGTTTTTCCACAACTTGCAGTTCTCAGCATCTTTTGAACCTAAGATCCTTGGTGGGGCACCACCCTCCCCCTTTGCTTCTTCAGGCTCATTTGCCCATCATCTCTCTGTCTTTGGGGACAGAGAGACTGACAAGTAAGAGAGACCTGGCTGAGACTGGTATGAACAGAGACCCAGATTGACAAAGAGAAATGGGGACCAAATAGAGATGGATATGGATATGGACAAGGACAGAGAAACGCTGATAACATCTGACATAGACATAATTAGGAATGTGGTCCAGCTTGAATATTGTGGAACAGACCCTCCCGACGGTGGAGATAGTAGTTGATAGTAGTTGTCGCACTTTCCACCCAGTTCCTCACAAGATTCTTTCCAGTCCAGGCACTAGCCGTCAATACACCTTTGGCCACCAGAGGGCGCTCTGAACCCTCTCACTGCAAAAGTTAGATGTCAAACTTGGAAGGAGCTTTCCAGAGAAGAGATGGTGGAACTCTCAGGTCCAACTGCAGCACTGGCCTCGGTTCCATGAAAGGGAGCAAACCCTCACCCCCATGCCCTGCTCAGTCTGGCTCTGCCCCACTACCCACTCACCCATGGCACTTTTGTGTGGCCCTACTTATCCCTGACCTGTGTCAGCTCCTCTGCCACCCCTGGTTTCACAGGTGCAGAGAGAAGGCATAGAGTCAGAACAGACTTCAGAATCATCAGTCCTAGGTTCAAATCCCAGTCTACCAGCCCCAGCTAAGTAGCTAAGGGATTCTTTCTGACCTTGAGCCTGTTTCCTCATCTGAAAAATGGGGATGACTAAATGTACCCTGTGGAGCTGTGGTAGCATAGTGCCTAAGGCACTTGACTGCTAACCAGAAGGCTGGCGGTTCAAACCTCGGAAGGAAGGTTGGGCAATCCTACTTCCGTAGTGATACTGCCTTGGAAACCCAAGGAGGGGTCGCTATGAGTCAGGGCCGACTCGACGGCATATAACAACAACAACAACAACAACAAATGTACCCTGTAGGGTGGTCCTGAGGAACACTGATGGTGCTGGAGATAGTATGACTTAGTGCTTGGTGCACAGTAGACTTTCAGCTGACGGGGGTAACTGTAACTAGGTTTGAGATGGCGTGAAGCCAGAGGTCTGGGAGTTGGCAGGTCATGTATGTGGCTGTCATAAGGAAAAGTGGACTGTTTGCCACTTAATGACACAAAAGTATCCACAGCCCTCCCTCTGTCCAGTCAGAGAGGAGGCAAAGGTTCAGATGCTAATGCCTTCAATTAAGTATATACACACTCACTCCTAGGGAAGCCGTGCCGAGCAGAAGGCACAATATGGGCAGTGCCAGCTAAGGATTCCTCAACGGTTCCGATCGTCATCTGAGGGCTATGGTGAGGAAACTAGAAGGGTTCAGGCAGGGGAGATACAAAGTCCGATCTGTATTCTAGGAGGAGGGTTGGAGGGAGCAGGATAGGGGCTGGGAGTTGAGGGGGGGCTTGTGGCAGTGTCCAGCTGTGACTAAAACCCATTAATCTGCTGCCATCGAGTTGATTCGGACTCAGCAACCCTACAGCAAAGTGTAGAACTCCCTTATAGGGTTTCCAAGGCTGTAATCTTTATGGAAGCAAAGTGCCACATCTTTCTCCCATGGAGCAGTTTGGTGGGTTCAGAACTCCAGCCCTTCAGTTAGCAGCTGAGCTCTTAACCACTGTGCCACCAGGGCTTCATACCCAGGTGTGGCTAGGGAGAAGAAAACCGGGGATCACAGCCTGGGGAAAGGAGGAAGAGACCTTTCAGGGTGCTGCCAATCTCCCACTAGGTCACTGGGTGTGGGGGAATTAGAGGTTTGGGTGGGTCAGTCAAGAACCAGAGGATGTGCAGATGGAAATGTGTCCACAGGAAATGACTGTGGAGCCCAGCAGATGTGGTACCTGAGGTGTGTGGACAGGAAGCTAAGCTGGCAGGCTCAGCTGCCTAGGTCAGGAGGCCCTGGCAGAGCCCCAGACGGAGCCAGAGGAGGAACAGCCAGAGAGAGAGGAGGATAAGAAGGTGCAGTGCCCCCAATAAGGTGTCAGCAGGGTCAGGCAAGGTGAGGACTGGAAAATATCCGGCTTGAGCCCTAGGTAAGCCTGGAATTAGCCATGGGAGCAGGGCCTGAAGACACGTCCAGGTTGTGTGTGTCTGCATAGGGTCTCCAGGCCCGGGGTCTGCTGAGAGCTGGGTATGGTAGCTCCCCCTGTCATCTCCCTGAAAGTGAGGCCCAGGCCAGCGGCCAGGCCAGAGAGGGAACCTGGTGAAGGGGCCATTTAGCGGGCCCATGTGAGAGTCGCCGGGACTCGTGCGAGGTCAGAGAATGGCAGTCCAGTCCCGCGAGGGTGG